TATGAGTACCATTCGACGATGTAGAGAGAGAACCTGCACTATGGTTATGAGATGGGGAATGACTCCCAAAGGATATGGCAGCGAGTGTTAGCAGCAGCTGGACATTTGTGAGCAGGGGAGATAGAACATATCTGGATGTTTGAACATTTATCACGATATTTTTGTCACTTTTTAAGCATTTTTCTCGATGCTTGGGAGTTAAATACGTTTCGAACAACAAAAAGAAAAAGTAAACTTCTCAGAGTTGTATGATGCATTTCATACGACTAAATCACCTAAAATGCATAAAGGTAGATGAATCATTGAATAGAGAAAAACTGTATATGTGAGCAAATAAACTCTCTCTACAAAAGTTTTGACAACTGAACATTCAGAGTATTTGTCAAAATCAGACATATTCAGATAGCAAGAAGGTGAAAAAAGATTTACTACTTGGATGTCTTTTATGGATGTTTCCTTGTACCCGTCAGAAATACAGCGGAGATCTTTGTCGGCTTTGGTTCTTTTGTTGAATTTTTTAGAATAGGTGCGCTCAAGGTATTCAATGTATTTATGGTTCGAATAATAGCCCCACGATTTTTATCCACACTGAATTGTTTCGCTATAATAGCTACCTGTAGTTGACTAGTTAGATCAATTAATTTATAAACTTTGAACTTTTTAGGTATAAATTTTTCACCTTCCCATTTCAACTCAACCTGCTGTTCCGTAAACAGTTTGTCTATATCATCTTTTGAAAAAATATCGTGAGTAGTATGAGCAAGTTGATTCTGTAATGAATTAGATGAAGATGATGAGGTTGAACCTGATATAGCTGCACTAAAACCCCACCCACTACCACTAACACTTGCACTTGCCTCATTGCTGGCTGTTGATTCTTTCAGATACTGGGTATTCAAATTGTAATATGTATTAGAATCATTTCGTCTTTGTGTTTCTGAGTCATTTTTTGTAAAGAGATTCTCTATTTCTGTTGTCAATCTGTTAGGATTTAAATCAGATGATGACCATATTTGACCATATAAACCGGCCTCAATCTCTGTTGTCTCTGAATTCTCCATACCTAAAACAAGTGCCGAATTCAGAGACTACCTCATGAAAGAACTGTCTTACTTACCTTGTTGAAAAAGAGAAAAGAATTGATCCTCTAAGCCAGCTGTCAATGTAGACGTATCCAAACTTGCATCTTCAATATAAATCATTTTCTTAACATTTGTAACATATTTACCGACAAAGTGTGCTGCTTGATTTCGATGGATATATTGTGAATTTGTATCACCACCGTCTGCAATTGTTTTACTTAAGACACTTCTCACTTGATCACCTGTAATTGAAGCAAGATTCATTTTTACTTGTTTGAATTCAGCAAAATATAAAGCAACTTCAATTTCATAATCACCATCAATGATCTTTTCTACAGTTTCTTGGGCTATTATCTCCGTAGTACATTGAAAACGTAATGTCATAATTAGTGTTGTTGGATGAATGGCATGATATTGCTGAACGCCAACAACTGGAGATGAGTCAGCACGTAAAATGTAAGCCATTAACGAATCAATCATCAATGGTGCTACATCCCAATATTTCGAATAGTTTTTTACAATATCATTATCGAACTTATTTGAAATAGCTTCTCTTGCCAATTCTTCAATTTCTTTATTACTCACTATTAATTTCAATCGAATTTCATTTCTAACTGCCCATATCCACTTTGTATCATTTTCATCTTGTTTTAGTGGTAACATGACTGGAACATAATAAAAAATCCATTTTCTGTAATCACTCTTATTTTCATCAGTATTTGATTTTGGACTGTAAACGTAAACTTGGTTATTTTGATAATTAAAAAGAGTTAATACATAAGTGTTAACAATGGCATTTGTGGAACTTGTGCCAGTGTTATTTTCTGCCAAACTTGGAGAAGAGGAACTAGCAGCAATACGAAGCCCTTGTTGAATGGAGTCTTCCATGATAGTAATATTATGAGTTTCATCGTTTATGCCCTTAGCATTCGCGACGACAAACCATAGAAGAAAAACAATGAGATGGATTGAGCGTTTCATTATATCAAAACTATTTGCCGTGAAAATTTGTTCGCATCTGCAGATGACAACCTATATATACTGAAAAATACCGGCATAGCATCTATTTCACAATCAGAATTTCAACTATTTATTCAGATCAGACTACTTCCCAATAGTATCACATAACAAATTCGTATTTATGTAACGCTGATCTTGACAAACTCAAAACCAATAGACTATCAAATTACGAATCCTGATATATTCCAATCCTTTGAGTGTGCGTAAACATGTGAAACTGAGGGTGTGGGTGTGGGTGTGGGTGTGGTGTGAGTATAGGTCTTCTTTTCATCTACTCGCATGCTGACACTCACACCACACACCCACACCCTTCTCCGTGCAAATAAAAGCTTTACACTGATCCGATCCTCTGAAAATATTTAGTTAATTAAGTTTGATAAATAACGGAAGTCAACGGATTGAATTTCCCGGTGAACTTTTGGGACATCCTTTACATTAAAAGTCAAACGAAAATATTCGTGAAAAAGTAAATCTGAACTTAAAAATTAGAGAATACATCCTATTCCGCAATGTTGCACATTGCAGGAACCAGTTCCGCCCCGGAATCAGTTCCCTCAATTCCGGAATTCCTATAATGACCCTTTCATCTAATTCCGGAATCCCAACAACCTAATTCCTACCAATTCCGGAATTCCTAGAACCTAATTCCTATCGATTCCGGAATTCCCTGACGAAATCATACCATCTCCCCTCACCCTCACTTGTTGTCTTGTGT